ATTTTTTTTGAACAGACACACAGGAGATAACCATAAGAGGCGCCCCGGGGGGCCCCCCCTCGGTTTCTTGGGATAATGGGGGGGGGGGGAGATCCAACCCAATCAGCCTTGCCAGATTCTGTTATTATGGCTCATTTCCATGAAAATAGTTTTAGACTTCTTGTATTTCTTGATCTGGTCTACCTAGCAGGGCTGGCAGACTTCCTTTTCTCTACTATACAAAATGCAAGCCAGAGTCTTAATACGCCACAGCTGTCACGCTGAATGCAGTTTTCTGCTCTTCATATCCCTGATAGACGGTCCGTTTGTCTACAAGGGCGCACCCACAAGACGAAATCTGCGCTTATTTTGATCAGCATGCAAAAGTCTTCTGGTGGGTGATAACAAAGTCATGTGTTCATGATGTGCAGGATCTCCTCTTTGTGAGGCAACAGTGAGCCTTATGTTACCTCGATGACAAGTCCCCACCAGCATAGATCTTGTCAAATCATATGCAAAGGAAGTCATTCAGTTTGTCCATTTGTGTTTCACTTCCTTGGGTTGAAGATTCAGCTACAGAAGGGTGATGAGTCTCTTTCAGTATCGAAGGCTGTTTTGGCCACTCAGGGTGTGGCAGAAAAGTAGTCTCAAGATTGCCAACGTTGCACGAGTTATAGGAAACAGAAATGCTGAATTAACTTCAACAGATCTCTAAAACCTAAGGAGGATTGGGCTGGTTTAATACTTGGATAGGAGACCACCAGGAAATCTTTGGGTTGTATACCTGACTGGGAACTTGAAGAAACAATATTGGCAATGGCTGTTGCCCCAAACCCTAGATGAGATGTCCATGAAATCATAAGCAATCGTGTTCAACTCAGGAGGGTTCCTTTTACATCTTCCTTGTGCAAGAAGTGATGGGAAAGGTATGATTTAATCACCCATTCACACGTGCCCAAGTCTCGTTGACTGTGGATTCTTCCTTGTTGACAAACCAAGAACCTGAAATGGCCTATTGGAGTCATCCATCAATCCACAGCTGATGTGAACATCAGTGGTGTTAAAATGACATGAAATCAAAAAAGGGGCATTTGAAAGGAGTCTGACATAGTGGATGGGGTTTAAGACAAATATTGTTTTTGTTCTTGTCCACTTCCGGACTTGGCCACACCCCTTTCCCCTGGCCCCGCCCACAGGGGCTCTCAACTTAGCAAAGTCCATTTGAGCACCGTCTGTTTTCCTATTTCTTCCTACTGAATTTCTTCCCGCTGAAAAGAGACCGCAGCTTTCCTGTGACATCCAGTTCCACTGTCAATTCTCTTGTCTCTTGTCATGATGTCAAGCCTCAGTCGGATTTTCTCCCCTATCCAGTCGGTGTCACCAGGTTGCACAAGGCAACCTTTGAACGCTTGAGGATCAGAGTTTGCATCTTCTCTGTATCTTCTCTCTTTGGAGCTGACTCCCCCATGCCATTAATTTTTGCAGCCCCTATTTTGAGCTGCTGTGGATTGACCGAACTGTCTCCAGCTGAACTGGAGACAAAGGGACAGGATAAGATCATAGGTGGCTTCCTCGGTGGTTAAGCCATCTTGGGAAAACCTCCACTCCATGTTACAACAAATAAATAAAAAGGAAGGCATTTTTTCTCCCCGGCATCCAGCTTGGGGGATTAACAAGGAATTAACCAAGATTACCAAGAGCATCCAGATACCATCCAGTAGTCTGTGGTTCTATTTCTATTTCTTCAATATGGCTTTTTTTCTGTCTCTCTTCGGCAAGGTTTTAGCCCTTTGCTTAAACATCCCATTTAGAGCAAATACAGAGAAAGTGAAATTGCAGCATGTGGAGAGAGAGCGTCACTAGCATGGAACTAGGTTTCCAGCTCTGGTGGTTCCCCTGTAACATTCCTGCTTATAATAAGGACAGGAAGGCTCAGTTTTGGTGCACTGGGGCCAAACCCAACCAGGTTTACCCCCATCGCGCTGCTCTTTGCAAGCTGGGGTCTCAGATCTAGAGATCTTTGCAAGCCACCAGGCTGCAGACAGCCCACAGCTGGAGGGACGGTGTTCAGACGTGCAGCGAGAGGGGCGTTGCAGAAGCACGGGGGCGAATAGACAGACTCCAGATCTCATACTTGTGGAGGGAGTTGCAGAAGGGAGCGTTTAATAGGAAAAATAAACCTTTGGAGGTCTGCTGGAGGTACTGCAGGAACAACCGAAACAGGAACGGTGATGGGGAGGGGAGCCGCTAAGATGGGGGGACTGGGAATGGGGGGAATGGGAAGAACTAAAGCAAGGGGCCTGGGGTGCCGGGGCCCCGAGTGTGCAAAGGGCCCATTTCCTGGCTGTATTAGTGACCATGTGTTTTAATTGTTCGTATTCGGGATTGATTATTCTTAAATTTATTTCAGTACTGTGTGTGGCCCCCAGTCCCTGGCTGAGCGGGGCGGCTGTACAGAGGGATTAAGCTAATACACGAACAAGCCAACATCTGGAGGTGGGGAAGGCATGGATGACTAGCAGGGATGAGAAGGGAGCCGGGTTCGGGAAGAGGCTGGGGTCAAGCCCTTCTTTGCAGCTCCTCCTTGCGCGGCGTGGGCGCCCTTCTGCGAGGGATGTGCGTCTCGTCTGAATCCGTTTCTCTCTTCCCGCTGCAGGACCAAATGGAAGAGGCAGACGGCGGTGGGGCTGGAGCTGCTGGCCGAGGCGGGGAATTACTCGGCTCTGCAACGGATGTTCCCTTCGCCCTACTTCTACCCGCAAAGTCTGGTCTCCAACCTGGACCCCGGAGCCACGCTGTACCTTTACCGGGGACCCAGCGCGCCGCCCCCGGCGCTCCAGCGGCCTCTGGTGCCTCGGATCCTCATCCACGGACTGCAGGGGGGCAGTGAGCCCCCACCCCCTTTGCCCCCGCTGGCCGGCGTCCTTCCCAGAGCTGCTCAGCCGCGGTGAGCGGCCCCAACCCGGGCGTTGCTTCAGGAAGATAACGTGGGAACGCGGCGCTCCCGCTTGCCTCGGCCTCGCCGGCGCCGGATTGACTCTGGAAAGGGGGTGGGGAGGGGGAGGGAGGGGAGGAGGGGGGGAAAGGAGGCGGGGAGGGGCTTGAGCTCGCGCAGCAGCCCTGCGCGCCTCTCGGGGCATTCCCACGGCCGCCTTTCTCGCTAGAAGGCTAGCTGCCAGCCCTATCAACCAAGATGCTGCAAATTCATCCCTGGCGCTTTCAGACACGGCCTCTCTTTGCGCCACATCAACCTTTTCCCTTCCTTCTCTCGTGGTCTTTCCTCACGGCCTCCAACTCCCTGTCTGAGTTCCCTTCTTGGACTAAGGGGTTCTTGCTGGGCGTCGGAAGGGGTGTGGTGTGAACCCCGCGCTTTGCGAGCTCTGTTTGGGGGTCCCCCTGCTGGGGCTTACCCAAGACACTGCCAGCAGCCGATAAACCAGGCTTGAGAGATGCAAACCCGGCCACTGTGGATGACAAGTTTCTTGGAGCTTAATAGGTTGTGTGAAAGGTGTGCCTCTGCGTCAGGTGCAAACCCAGAATGTGAGTTAATTCGGTAATCCAAATGGCACTTATGGTTGGAATTCATCTCCCTGCTACATAGAAGGTATAACACACCCTTCCCCTGCCCTGGCCTGCTGGACTCCCACTCCCAACATCCCCAGCCAGTGTGGTTGAAAAATTAAGCTTCATTGTAGTCCAATATTCTTAGAAAGTGCCCAGGTAGGAAGACCACCTCTTGATGTTTCCTGTACATAAATGGTTTATTTTGCAAATAACAAAATTCTCCCTCCTTGCAACTGCTTCTGGAGACCGCCCCTTCCTTTGCCAACAGAGAAATGTTTTTCCTGAAAAATCGGCATTGCACATAATTTGATTTTTGGTTTTCTGAGCTGAGAGTCCCTCTTTGCTCCTTTCCCACCTTCTTACCCCCCCCCCAAATTGTCCCGACCCCATTGCAGAAAAGGAGGTAGACCCCTGGCTTTACTCCCAAGGGCCATTCTCTAGCACAGCTACTGGACAAATGTCTGTCTTGTCTAACGATAGGGCCGCCCCACTTCCCAGGAAAGTCGGCCCAGTACAGCAAAAAAGAACATTTCAAACATGTGCCAGATGGAATTGGAAGCTCCACGGTGTCATCACACGCGTGTCCACTGGACAGTAAATCTCAACAAACCTTGGTTGTCTCCAAGTTGTGACACTTTGCAGCCTCAGTTCCTTGCTGCGGTCATAAGGCGGGCTGGTTGTTTTAAATCCCCAGATAGAATAACAACCCAAATTGTGCCCTGTTGGCAGGAAGAGAAAGAAGAAAGGAAATGCAAACATTTAGCAAACACACAGTGGAACAAAAACCCCGCTTGAAATACTGGGTCAGAGGAAAGACATGTCCTGCTGATCCCATAAAACTAAGAGCTGATTTTTCTGATTTCAGCTACAAAAGAAGGGAAACCAGACAAGGGAAATCAGTTTTGAAATGGTGGACCTAGGAGCCTCGGGATCTTGTAGGAAACTGGTTCTCAGTAGCTTCAAGAGGGTTACCAGAACTGGCCTTCAACATTCGAAGATCACTAGGGGCACATCTGGTCTTTCCTGCCATCTACTGGCCCTATGGATCTTTGCAGCTCAGATCTGGTCACCCACCAGATCTGGTCCCAGGGAACAGGGGTCTATCAACATCTGCTGGAACTTAGAGCCCATCTCATCACTAACTTGTCATCCCCCACTTTAATGACCTCCCAGTGTTGGTGCTACTACTTTCTTGAAGACTCAGCTAGCATGCGGGCTGGGACGATGGCAATTAAGAGTCCATTTTGAACCAGAGGGCCACCAAGTTGGGAGAGCTGAGGCCCATCAAAGATGTCCTCTGCTCATTTTATTTCATTAATCCTCCAGTTCTTCCCATGAACGTATTCTAGCCGGGGAAAACAGAGGCTGTTTCCCTATACGTTTTGTTTTAGTTCCTTAGAGCTAATATTCCTTTGAAGGCCACATCTACTGATGCTTTTTGAATGTCAACTCTCTGGTCTGATTTCAGGGTGTCTTCTAGCCAAGACTGAATGAGAAAAATTGAGCCTGGAAAGAGATCCTATATATATATATATTTCTTTTGCAGTTGGGTGTATGCCCGTAGAACAATTCCATTCCTCCCTAGCCAGGGGAACAAAGCCACACAGATTGTATCCTAGTCTAGCGTGAAAGAAATCCTTTTATGCTAAACCAAGGATTTTCAAGACGATGTACCTTCTTTTTAAAAAAGAGGTCGGTGGGGTTTTTTTTTATTATTATTACTATTTTTGTTTTGGTTGCTGTTGTAAATAATTGTGTGCACAGAAGTATATTATTTATGGTGAACCCCAAGGGTGTATTTGTGTAAGTGAGTCTTGTAAGTCTGTACCATTGTGGAATTCTCTTTTCCGGATTTTATAATGGAAGAAGAAGAAGAAAAGAAGAATTCTGCTTTAGAAGAAATCAGATTAAAAAGATCTCTCTCTTTCTCTTTTTTAAATGTGGAAATAAACTTCTTTACAAACAGATGGGGTCATTTTGAAGCCTTTTCATTTCCACCAGCAGCACCTTTTGTTGAAACATCAAAACATGTTGGAAAACATGAAGGAGTCTGCACGGGGGAAAAGCATCCATTCTTCTCACCGGTGGAGGAAATATTTTGCTGGCATTCAGCCTGTTTAAAAATCTACCTCTCGTCTTAATAAAAAGTAAGCAAACCAACCCATTGGGTAGGAATCTGCATATTCCCCCCTTGCAAATTTATAGGAATAAGTCCCATTGAACTCAGTGCTGCTTCTCTTTTGGTATTGGCTGGACCTTGGCCGTGAGCAAATCTGTCAATTTCACTTCCCAGCTTCTGCAAACCTGTCCATTTGGACTTCCCCTGTTTCCAGGAATATATTTTGCTCTTCCCATTCCCACCTTGGAAAGAACTTTTTAAAAAAGTTTGTTCTAGACTTGCCTCCCATCTCTAAAACATTTACATCTTATTTGCCTATTGCTTAATTTTTTTATTTAGACATCCAATTTGTCACCGCCCATCTCGTTGAAATGACTCTGGGCGGTTTACAGAACAATTAAAATCAATTAAAATTACAATACACAATAATCTGAAATAAACAGAAAACACATAGATCCAAATAGAGAGATGTTAAAACTGCTTTAGCTAGCAATTTCCTAACACATCGTGCATTTTTATCAAAGGGCGTATTTTGAACAGGCTTGCGTAACCATTCGGAAATATGAAATCAGATAGGTTCTCCTCAAATGCTGGTTCATCAAAGGAACATCTCTCCTTTGCTAATCTGCTAAATGAAGACATTTCTATTAACATCCTGGTGGGAAAACCCTGTCTCCCTCTGAAAAAACCTGACTTACAAAAATCCAAGGCTCTTTCTGTCTTCTCCTGGATTTCTCCACACAAGCCAAGAACGTTTGAACCCAAATTTGCGCAGGTCTAAAATCTAGTGGAGTTGGAAGCTAAGCTGGCAGGCGTCTGGTTGGTCCGTGGATGGGAGACACCACGCTATCCCGGAGTTGTAGGTTAAACTGAGGAGTTGAAAAGATCCTGAAAGAAGATGGTAGAGAATCACTTCTCTACCATTGCTGATCAAATGACATGGATGTGTTTGTGAGTTCCCAGCAGGTTCTGCCTTTTAGAATTGGGATTGAAGGAGAAGAAATGCAACACACAACGGGGCCAGTCCTCACATCACACACCTTGAACCAACCAAACACAGTGACTATATTCCTGTAATAGGTAGGACTCATTTGAATGAGACACCATCATCTGGTCCAGACTTGTAAGACATGCAAATGACCACTCTCCATTTTAGCTCTTGGATTGCCTTCAACCTGAGTTTGACTCCTGCTGACACCACCAACAGATCCACGGAGATTTCTAGATGGCAACAGAAGTGGGTTGCTGTTGTCGTCTTCCAGGAATTATTTTATCAGCTTCCCAATCTAGCCACCCTGGAATTGGTCTCCCATCTAAATTCTAACCAGGTCCATTCCTGCTTAGCTCGCCAGGAACAAGGTCAGCTACAGGCTAGTCTAGAGAATAGGAACAATGGCCTTGAAGAAGATAGGCAGGAACTATTCCCAAAGCAAATGGGGATGAAACATTTTTTAAGCCCAGAACATCCAGGTAACATTCAGAAGTGGCTCAGACAGACACCTCCCTACTTCACAGGAGTATAAGAAGGGGGAGGAGGTCCAGCACAATCTGACTTGCAAGATGCTGTTATGATAGCCCATCTCAATAAAAGTAGTTTTAGCCTTCCTGGGGAGTTCATTTCTTGGTGTGGTCTGCCTAGGGGGGCTGACAGCTAGGCAGCGAAGCAGAGACCAGTCTCTATATCAAAATATTTTTGCAAGAAGAGGAGTCGATGAAGGATCCCATATCTATCTTAGTACCTATCTATCCATCTATCTTAGTATCTATCGAACTATCTTAGTAGCTATCTATCCATGGCAGAATTTTCTGCTATTACATTATAAAATATTACAATTTGACAATCCCTAGAGTTTACTTACTGCACTCACTTTCCTTCCCCATCCTTCCTTGTCTGACTTTGAAAAAACTGAGTAGGGCTGGACCCGGTGAGAAACTTGGATGGGAGACAAGGAATCCAAGGGCTGCGGAAACTGTAACATTTGAAATATCCCCAAGTCATCAGCGACAACACTGTGATTAAGAAAACCTCAAAGGAGTTTCCGTTTAATTACCAGGAGCCCAGCTTCACTGGAGGGAGACTTCACTGTTCATCCGTACAATAACCCTGTAAGGTAGATCACATTGGGGGTTTGCTCCAGACAGATATGGCCATAGTAAGGTTGGTTTCTCACACACTTAACTTGGTTCTTGGATCAATACTTTGCTGAAACGTGCCAACTCAAAAAGAAATCAAACAGATCCAATTCCCACAAAACATCTTCCTCCACT